AATCTCGGAGCGTGTCTCGGTGATTGGATATTGATTCGTCGTATCAGGAGTGCTCTATCCGTCGAGTGTCGGCTGCTCCGATTGAGGTCGATTACGTTCGTCAGCCGGATGATATTGACGTGGTTGTGTATCGCCGGTATCGAGTCGTCGAACCGGGCGGCGTGATCGTGTTGAGCCGTCGCCGCTAGACTGAATCGATATTGGCTTCGTCGGCGTAGGTCGGGAAGGCAACTTGTTGTCGTTGCGTCGGGTGGTCTTCTGGTCTTCGTTCAGCTGCCGTGTTGAGTAGTTTACGTGCTGATGGTTGATAGAAGACTGATTGAAGAAGATACTTTTGTCGGTGAAGTGTCCCGGTATATATACGTTATATTTGTGTTTGTCGTTTTGTGATTGGTCGAGGTTGGTAGTTGTGTCAAGCAATAGTCCCACCTCGACCCGTTGTTTTTCCCTCTGATGATGTGGTTTTCGCTCGGTCTTTTTGTGAAACGTATTTGCCGAGATTGCGTTCCTCCTTGCGTGCCGGGTCGCTTGTTCGCGTCCCACTATGTTGTCTTACTGTTGTTTATTGGTGGTCCTGAAAAGGACCATTTTGGTGTTGTGACGGTTTATCCCGTTACAATATTAAGCAAAGGAATTATTTACATAATTAATTCACAGGCTAAAAATTATTTTTTTTTGCAGATGACTCGCATGACTATTCAAAAACAATTACACTAGGTAAATTAAAACCCCTTCTAGTTAGTTCAATATTATAATAAAACATGTAGGTACTATAGACCTGCAAAGGCCGTAAATTTGCAGCCCGGTACGGTCCATACATTTTATCCTCAGGCCCCGTCCCGCAAGGTCCAAAAAATATTGTGAAAAAAAAATATAATATTATTATGGTATATATAAATAGCTTTATTATACCCACCAATCGATATATTATTATATTCATTGTGATTGTATCAACTTTCCATAGAGTATACTCTATATGTATATATCTGTACCGACGTCGGTTTTTATCATTATTATTTATTATTTTAAATTGTGACTATTTATTGTCGAAGAAAAATCCTTAAAAAGCCCAGTAAAACCGTTGATTTATTATTCGAAGTCCATCCCGGCCGGGCCCGAAAAATTGTACAAAAAAAAGCCCAGGCCCGGTCCGGAATAAAATTCCAACTTAAAAAGCCCGGTCCAACCCTTCATTTTATTTCAAAGGCCCGGCCCGGTCCAATGTAACTACGGGCCGGGCTTTTTAAGGACCTGGTCGGGCTGGCCTGGCCCTTGCAGGTCTGTAGTAGGTACATGTCAGCTCTTTGTGTCTAGTTGATCTCCATGTTACAATGAATATTACTAATATTGCAGTTTGTTTACTTTTTCTTCGTATGGAACAGCAAGGTCATTACAGGAGATAATCTTTACCACATCATCAGAAGATAATGATAGAAAATCATCATTTTTAACCACTTCTCTGAAAATAATTGTCATTATATTATATATTTATGTACTATTGAGAAATATAGAGAATTAAGTTAATGAAATTATATCTTACAAAAAATGTTTTTTAATGAACGCTTCACAACTTGATAACAATTCCGTACAGTTCTGTAAGTCAGCAAACGCTCTGATATCAATACAATTTAATGGATCCAGTTGTTTTTGTAAAAACTCAACACATACATCATTTACAAAATCTAATTGTAAGAGGCTTGCGGCTGGTAACAAGACCTTTAGAAATCAACATTCAACAATAATACATTTAAAGTAATTTTGTTTTATTGTCTGTAACAAATCACATTTTTAATTAGGTATACCTGTACATTTTCTTTTGTGACGATAATTTCACCCGTATAAATATAATCTAATAATAGTTGGAAGACAGTGGAATTTAATTTTCTTATATTGACGGTGTTGTTGCCGGTTTTTTCTATGAAATTTGAAAATTATATTTTATATTTTAGTTCCCATCTTCATTATTGAATATGAATTAACCCTAATATATATTTATTCATAATCACTGTTTAAATATAATCATGCTCATTTATGATGTAAATAAAATGTGGCCGACGTTAGTATGGACTTCGTTGCCACTGATTAATACAGTGTATTATATCAAAAAAAATTAACGAATTCCGTCTATTCTACAGTGTATGAACTATGAAGTATGAACAATGAGAGTTTTTCTTGTAAGAAAATATGATATATTAACATGTATAAAAATAATTACTGAACATTGCACGGAAATATGGACTAGCTGCCATTAAAACATTTTTATGGCCAAACGTTGTACATCCATCGTCTGTTTCAAATCTAATATCACATAATACTTCATTTCTAAAAACAAAAATTCGTTACTAATATTTATTTTTAATAAAGCTAAAATCAAATTTAACATACTTGCGTAGAGATTGCAAATCTTCTAGTATTCTGACAGAGTGAGAGTTATTTCTAAAATTAGTTGGTTCACATTCTTTGGATGTCAGAACTTGTTTTGGATCACTTTCACTCGATGAATTATGTAAGGCATCCATTTCTTTCACCGACATAACACCTTTGAAATTATTTTAAAAATTGTGATAAATTTTTATATCATCGTTCATCATAAGACTTAATAATACATTTTAGTATAGAACCTGTATAAAGACCAACAAAGTACCTACTGCTGTTAAAAAATTATTACTAAGATAATATAATAATGGATAACTCCAAGTATAAATAAGTGTTGAAATAAATATTAAGGAATTGTTATTTATGTCCATTGTTCCTAGATTCTAGATTAAATGTGCATAATGACAGGTATAGACGTATAGTGTACTTTCATTTATTTAGTTTAAGTATATATCTGTTGCAAACTGCAGCGGATAGGTGATAATATCAAAAACAAATACAAGGAATGTTATTTTTTGTATTATTAAGTGATCTTTACAATATCACTTGTATCAATTTTTTCTTGGTAGTTATGTACTCATCTGCGGTGTCACAACAAAAATATATTTAAATAATAATAAAAATAAAAATTACAATGTAATATTGATTCTATACAACTAAATTAGATTTAAAGAATTTATATATTATAATTATTTCAATTTATAGAATTTATTTCTTACTTATTCGTAGTAGGTAGGTAATTGAATTGAATTCAGCGCGGTAACGAGTAATGGGCAATACTGCAGAGCAATACGTATGGTAGGTACTTATTGAAATATAAGCCTATATAATCATTAATCGATGTACTTAATCAATATATTAAAATATATAAAAATTTAAATTTAAATTGTAAAATTCCTACCTATCTGGCTATCTGATGTCGAATATCGATGCGTAGTGCACACCGACTTTATTGATGACTGTGGCGGTGTGGCGTCTCTCGTCTTGTTGTAGACGATACCAACATTTTCTTTATAGATCCACCTTGATTATTGTAATATGTTATCTCGTTTACGTTGTAATAGATACTTGAACTAATTTTTTCGAGTGCCACTTATGTTTTTAAGTAGGTTTTATCAGTCATAATACGTACCAATGTACCATTAATGACAAAATAATTGAACTAGGTACCTCTTCGAAATTTAATAATAAAATATAAATGTAATTATAAAATATAAAAATATTTGAATTCAGAATGTTGTAATGATTTTATAGTACCATCGTTCATCAGGACGTTCTACTGTATTATATTTAGCTGATAAACAAATTAGATGTTGATATTTATAGCCATATTATTGACTATTTTGATTTGTTTTTTATTTCTAGTATTTTTCCTTATACAGTGTTCTTAAATGGATGAAGTAACTATAGTTTATTGTATATTCGTATTCAATGTGATGGCCCAATAAAGATTTTTTTGAAATTTCCAAATATTTAAAATCTGGGTTAATACAAATTTCGAACATTATCTTAAATGTAAATATAAAAAGTTTGGAGACCCCTGCGTTATAATATAAGTATAGGTCTTATACAAGGTTATTAAAAAAATTTAGAAACCCTTTGATTATTACTGTTTCATGTTCGTATATTTTTAAACATAACTATAGCAATATCAGATAATACTGCTGCACATATTTTATTAGGTAAAATATTATTTAATCATGTCATTAATTATATCATAATATAGTTTATCAGTCATGATATAAGTCTAATAACCGTTTCCAAGTTTTTTGAACACCCTTTACAATACTTCTCAAATAATATATACTCATAGAAAATTCAAAACATGTATAATATATCAACTCAAACGATCATGACGTGTATTGTGCATATAATACTACAGCTAGTATAAAGGGGGTCCCCCTCACTGTCAAAAATATTTTAACCGAATGCAGAATCTACAAAACGGTAAGAGAAAAGTACCAAATGTCGGATCACCTAGCAGAAATACTTAACCCAGAACCCATCAACATCCTCAAACTCACTCGCAGTTCCTTGCAGAAACCCAACTACTGAAGAAAATATAAAATATACAATATGTCATTATATATATCTTTTTATCTCTTTTTCTGTGTATATTATATCTATCTCTAATGCACAAATTTAATTGTAAACTATAATTTTTTTTTTCAAATGTATCTCATACGTCCAATGGCCCCAATTTGTCGAATAATAAAAAAAAAAAAAAAAAATTACAGTATAAAATATAAATAATATTCTATTTAGAATAAAAACATCTTAAAAAAATATCTAGAACAAAAACTTATCCATTTTCAAAGTATATATTATATTATATAGATATTTATAAACTATAATTTAAAATTTAAACAATACAATTAAAATATAAACCTATATTACATTAGTACCTATACATTTATAATATTATAGTACTATATTACTATATCACTATACAAATTATTACTCGTTACCATCTTACCTTCTATAATTGTAAATATAATAATATTATATTTTATTATATAAGTTTAAAGTTAATAATATAAATTATAATATAAATCATTACCAAACTCATAATTAGGGCCCGGACTGCTGATTAAATCTATCAAACAATTCTCTAAAAAACGTTGCCAAGTTTAAAATTTCAAAATATGTTTTATTTTGTTCGAGGATACAATTAAAACATTTTTTTTAAATAAAAACTATTCGATATAACAATTAATAATACAATGTTACATCCTAACTAAGTTACAAAGTAAAATTCGTGATTCCTCATGATTTTTGTGACTGTCGGATTATCTTTAATTAATTCAGTTCGTATAATTTTTAATGGTCTGGTAGAAATATTGGCGTGGGCTTTTCTTTAACAATTCTCTCTCAAGACGTGTCGTTAAATTTTTATTGACTGTTAACTAAATGCTTATGATCAAACAGTTGACTAGTACCTATGACTGTATGGATATAGTATTTTTAGACAAATATGTTAGCCACTTATACCTATCTTATCGCCAGACTTAATAGCACAAAACCATTTTAAAATAAAACAAAATTAAATAACATATTAAATCAATGTATAATACTTATATTAATATTAATGACAATGGGCATATTCGATATGAATCGAATTATATACTTGAAATCAATGCACTTTGCACTGAAATCTAGGCTCTATTATACATAGTAATTACTATTGTTATTTGTTAGTAAGTTACAATTTCATCATAATTTTCAATGTGGTGCATCAATAAGAAACGAAACTGCTCTAGCAGTCGTGTCATCTTATAACTTTTAATATATACCTAACCGCTATACCAGTCATGATCATATTATTACGACTTAAATTAGTATGACTGCTATAGCAGTTACTGTCCGTCAATGTGTTAATAAACGCACTAAAAATGACCGAAAAATGTTAAAAAAGGTGGGCAAGTGGGTGTCACTCTGCTGTACAGTAGGTTACAAGTGGGTCACTGTATAATGGATGATATTAAATTTGAATTCAACGATATAATATCATTGTATAAGAAAAACGATTCTGAGCGGAGACGGTATGTCAGTCTAGGTATAAGACATATTATATACACTACTATGGTACTAAACCAAAATTTGACCTATAATAGGTACCTATAATAAATTCCAAATTAATCATATCACAATATCCATTAGGTACATATAACGCGTTATACGCCAACAACAAACCCTGATACTCTCATAGATATATAGTAGTACACATTAGAAGTTTCAAGTACCCACGAATAATGTTATACAATCACAACAAAATAACTAAAATAGTTATTCTAGGTTTTTTAATTTGTAATTTCGTCCAAATTTGAACTTAAAATGACTATAAAAATAAACTGTGTTCATATATTTTTTAGATTTTTGGTTACAGTATGAACTATTTATGAGAACCTTTGTTTTAAATTTGCAATCCTTAGCTATAAAAACTGAACATTTTATAATTTATTAATTACAATGATTGATAATTTTCGAGATTTTGATACATTTTGTCAAAATTCGATCTTTAAATGCTTATAAAAAAAAACTGTGCCTATGTATTTTTAATATTTTTCAACTAATATTGTAACAATATATCAGGAGCCTTGTATTAAATTTTTACACTTTTTGGCACAACAGATAAGACTTTATTGATATTTATAGAAAAAAAACTAAAAAAAATTGAAAGCGGTAAATACCACATTTTTTTGATATAAAATCATTGTAAACGAAAAGGATTCTGAGCTCTAAGGTTTAATAAAATTACCAAGTATATTTTATGGTATAGTTGATAAACTAATTTATTTTACTATTAGACATTAGTAATACTGTATTTCTGGAGAAGTTTTAATTATTTTTCCAAAAAAGGTGCAAATGAAAGAATCATTGTGTGCATACAATATAACAATGTACTTTAAAAATTTTAAGTTCCTACAAATAATATTTTTAAACTTAATAACTAAAATCAATAAAGCTTGATTACCATAGAAAATAATTTTATTGACTGTTATTGAAAATAAACAAAATCATGTCTTATTTTAAATGTCTATAAATATTAAATAACTCTAAAATAGTTAAAATGTTTTTTAAAATTAGTTCAAATCAATTGTATATTTGTATCTCCTTGATGATAAAGAAGTTTTGTGGTCAGCTACGACTGTAATTAATTTTCTATAACTTTCACCTCCACGTACCACATTGATTAGTCAGTAGGCCCAAACAATTTCGCAAATGCAGCACATAAACCTTCTACTGCATGTCTATATTGTGATTTATGTGTATTCAAAAATAACAAATAATATATATTATTTAATACCATAAAAATATAAGAATTATTAATTAATAGTCCTTTGCTTAATATAAACAGTAGGAACACATGATCTTAAAGATATATTATATTTTTGGGATCCTGTGATAATTATACACTATTGAATGGTTGAACAAACTATTATTATATTTTAATCTAGTTTTAAATATTTTTTATTGTAGGTATTTGAATGTGTTATCAAATGGGTAAAACATGATTCAGATCATAGAATT